AGAGAGAGAGAGAGACCGAGGGGGCGTGGCCTTGGGTCTGGAGGCAGGGCTGAAGCCTTGGGCGCCGCGTGTGTGCATGTGAGTGTGTGCATGTGTCACAGGGGAGGGGCCCCAAGGTTAGAAACTGTTGCTGTGGGTTCTGAGTTTTCCATGCTAACTGAAGCCCGCAGAGGCAGGTGCATTCCTAGGGCTCAGCTTGTCGGGTTGTTTCCAGGGTCAACGTGTCCATAGAGGACGCATGGGTGGCTGGGGAGCGCGTGCGGCCTGGTGACCGGCGCTGCACCGCCAGGTGAGCAGGTGTCGCTGCGTGTGGCCGCGGCGCTCACCTGGGTGGGGTCGCAAAGGTGTGCCGGCCCGTGGGATGGATGCCTCCGTGGGAATTGGGAGCCCTGGGAGTGTCTGCGCATCTGTTCTCAAAGCGCCTCCTCTGACATAGCTTTTCACCTCTGATGTGCAAATTTGCTGGCCAGGCTTCATCTTCTGGCTGGCCTCTGATTTCTAGATCCTAGGAATGGCTGGCCCTGAGATGCGTTCTGGCTGTGTCAGTGCTGGGATGTCACAGGTGACCCGGGAGAGTGCCGGGCCCTGAACGACCATGGTCCCACGAGGCCATCTGCGGCCGGTCTTCCACGGACCCGGGTGCTGGGCACAGGCAGTCAGGCCCGGGGAAGATCCCAGCACCTCCTGGTTCATTTCCAGGGCTGCCCAGAGGGACACAGGAGTTCCTCCTGGGTGCTGGAATTTAAGGCTGAGACCCCAGCGAGTTGTTTTCCTAGCTGCTGGATCTTGAGTCTTACAGGTGTGTGTGTTCCCATAGCTGATGTCTCCGCTATTTCCAGTGAAAAGCTTCGACCTTGAGAATCCTTTGAAACAGCCTCACGTGTCTCACGTGAATCCTCCTTCTGGCGAGAGGCCAGCCCCGGCGCCGGTGGGGCTTCTGAGTCCCTGACGGAGGCATGAGGTCTCCACGTGAAGAGCCACCCCAAACGCAGGCCCGGTGTCCTCGTTACCCCAAGCAGCCCTGGGCAAGCCTTCCTTTCTCTCTGCTGTTTGAAAGAACCTTGAAAGTGTGTCAGATTTTTATTTTCTCTCGAGCGAGGCACGCTGCAGTCTGAACTTTGGGACCCGGGGGCACCCTTTGAAGGGAACATTGGCTTTTAAAGTCTCTGGCACCCAAAGAACCTCTTTTTCCGTCGTTCACTTTGTCAGAGGGCCCCGACATGGTCATCTCGTCTCAGGTCAGCCCCACTAATGAAGGGTTCCCTGTTGAGTGCGATTTTCCAGGGTACTTACCTTCTGGAACTCTTTTTCCTCCCTCCTAAGCCTTTGGGAGGAGTTTGTGCTTCCGTGGCTGCGAATGTCTCTCTGTTGACCACGCCCCCCCCGCCCCCCCCACGGCCTGCACCCAGACCAAAAGCTTCTCAGAAAGCTTCCTGTAAAGGGCTATCTTGAAACTGGCAACTCTGAGGCAGGCGTGAGGGGCAAGCCGGTGTCCCACATGCAGGGTTGTTTGATCACGGTGGCTCCACAGACCGCGTGCACTTGGCATTTTCAGATCAGCTCACGGGCTGGAATCCTCTGGGTGACTGATAACACTGAGCTCCCCAGGGGGGATGGAGCTGTATCTTGACAGCTTTGTGGGGCAGCGAGGATGAGTGTCCCTGCAGGGACACGCATGGGACATGCTGGGGGCTGGGGGAGCTTGCAGAGAGGTGGTCGCTGGGGCAGACAGCCCAGGAGAGAAGCCAGAAGGCAGGGCAGGTGTTTCTCTCCGTGCAGGTCAGGAGGGGAGGGTGGGGACTCCACAGCCAGGAATGACAAGGGCCCGTGAGCCTTTGGTTACAATAAGAAATCCAGACTGGGTGTGGTGGCTCACGCCTGTAATCCCAACACTTTGAAGGCTCCCGTGGGGCCAGGAATTCAAAGCCAGCCTGGGCAACATCGTGAGACCTCATCTTTATAAAAAAATTAGCCGAGCATGGTGGCACACGTTTGCAGTCCCAGGTGCTCGGGAGACTGAGGCAGAAGGATCGCCTGAGCCCAAAAGGCCGAGGCTGCCGTGAGCTGTGATCGTGCCACTGGACTCCAGCCTGGGCGACAGAAAGAAAGAAAAGAAATCCAGTCCAAACTGGCTTTCATAATGCTAGGATTTCATCAGGGGGCTGAAACCCAAGAGTGTCCCGGTAGAATCAGCCTCTGGGGACGGTTTTCTTAAGACCTCGGTGCTGTTCCTTGGAGAGTGTCTTGTTTTGGCCTCCTCGCTCCCACAAGATGGGCGGCAGCGATCACTTAAGGGGGATGTGGATGGCCAGGGTGACAGCTGTGTGTCAGTCATGAAGGAGAGGGGAAGGTGGGGAGCCCACCGCGGTGTCCTGCAGGCCTCGCTGCGTGGAACCTGGCTGGGAGTCCACATCCCTTGAGGGCTTGTTAGAAACACAGGCCTGGTCCCCACCCACACACCCCGAATGAAAACCATGAGGCCAGAGCTTGGGCCTCTGTGTCTTCAGAGAGTTGCTGTGGCCCCGTGGGGGTCCCAGGGGGCAGGCAAGATGGCGGCACGCTGGCGGGATCCAGGCTCTTCCCTTGGTGTTCCACCCAAAGCCTCCTCGGCCCACGTAGAAGCGGGTTCTGCGCCGGTGCCCACGTCTTAAGGCCAGCACGGTCTCTTCCACACACTCCCCATCTGGATACCCGAGTTTGTTACCTTCATGAACTAAAATCCCCCGTATCTGGAGAAAGGTTCGCGACTCAATGCCCTGGTCCGTGGTTCACGCCCAGTGGGCAAAGGAGCAGTTACAACAGACATCTCAAAAGGCCTGTGTCTCCGTTTATGGTAATGAGGATGAATCTGCCGGGCGCTGGGCCCAGCCATCTCACGCTCACAATGTCCTGTGTCATCAGCCCCGTTTCCAGATGGGTAAACCAGGACACAGGTCAGATAAAGGTGGAGACATGGGCCCTGTGACTCGCGCTGTCTGACTCAATGCGTCACGGCTCAGAGGTTCACGAGAGACACTCCAGTGTGCTTAAGGCCTGAGTGGGTAAGGGGTAAGAAGAAAAACAAACAGCAAGGCGCCAGCTTTTATTGTCAAATTAGCAAATGCTTTTTTGTATGACTGTGCCCGTCGCTGTGACAACACTCTCGTTGCTAGGAGAGGGAATAAGTTGCCACAAACTTTTTAGAAATTACTGTGACCGTGTGTCAAAAGAACCACACTTCTTGGTTATGCGTACAAGGTGTGTAAAGCCAAACCACTAATTTCACATCTAGGAATCCATCCTGAGGGAATCATCTCAAACAAACAAAAAAAGACCAGGTGCAGCGGGTCACACCTGTCACCCCAACACTTTGGGAGGCCAAGTGGGGAGGGTCCCCTGAGCCCCGGAGTCTGAGACCGGCCTGGGCAACTTGGTGAGACCTCATCTCTACAAAAAA